TTTATGAACTATAGATATAACAGGAATATGTAATAAAAGTAAATCGTGATATAAGAAAGTCGACAGGGTTAATAGTAAAAATTTTATAAACCTCCTTATATCGAGAGTTTATTAATAAGTTTCTTATATCAAGTGAACTTATTATAGACTGTTTGGCTTTAGCTTTCTTATATTGAATTTTAATTCTCTCTTATATCGAGAGTTGTACTTTATAAAATAGAGTACTGGAGTATGTACATACTGTGATGACTAGAAAACGGCGACTCGGTCGCTCCACAATCCAGAAACTCGCGTAACCTGCGGTCGGTAACCTTACGAAAGAGGAGTGTTAGATTTTGCTGGTGGGTAATTAAGGCTTCGGCTACTTCGTTCGGGGATCAGGTAGTAATTTATATACATCACGTGATTTTTAATTTACAAATTTGTTAGTAATCAATTTAAAAAACTACCTGGCTTTAGACGACCTCTTCGTTCGGCAACGCTAGGTCACGTGACAATTGACTTAACGAACGACACTTTTTTAACTTTAGAGTTTTAAGGGGTATATAAGCGCAATAGTACTCTTATGTAAGATTATGAGCAATGTATTTAATAAATTGGAACTTAATTATTAGTGAAGCAAACGAGAAACTGATGTCTCTTGGGGGCGGTAATGCCTTTATTTATAATAAACTTTTACTTAGTACTTATTAAAATCATTATATCTCGTATATACATTATCTCTAATAAAATGATTAAACGGATTATAACGAATAAACCATCATATCCCCCATAACTATTACATTGGTTATAACAGATTTACTTATTATCTTGAATCTATCTAATTTCTTCAATATATTCAATATATCGCCGGCAACTCCATTTTAGGTAAGAGATCATCATAATCGGGGTAACGTGCGTTGGCGCAGCAGCTTTCAAGTCACGATTTCCATACACATTACTTGGTTATATCGATATCCTGATATAATGACATCCGGATTTATCGGTCAATTTCTTTGATTTTAGAAAGTGTCAATATAACCAGAGTGACGTGTATATTGCTACAGTAAATTCGAAAATATGCTTGGGTTAACAAAACTTGTAAATTTAGTTTTTAAAAGTGTTTAGTGCCAAGATATGACTTATGATAGACTATAAATAAGATCTTTTTTAAAGAATTATTTATAAACTGGACAATACGAATAGTTCTTGAAGTCGAATAACAATAATATTATTGATTAGGATATGAAGAAATGAAAAAAAAAAACACGATTCGAGTAGAAATAATTTTAGGCATCTTGAACAATGGCGGTTTCGTTCTATACACATGTAGAATATTAACCTTTTTCAACAAGTATTCTCTGTATGTGACCTTTCTAAATACCTTCTAATCATTTTCCAACCGTTTAAATTACCTATGAAGAAGATACAGCAAAAATTTAGATAATATAGAAAAGTCGCATATCACATCAAAATTTTTTGATATATAGTATATACAGTATAACTATATGCTGAATGACAGTAATTCAAGTCATGTGATGTGGCCTGAATTACAATATAAAGTTCAAGTCACGAGAAAAGAAAATTTACGATTGGATAATCAAGATACACAAATCACATTCTTAAGGAGTCAATTTTCAAAATTTGGTAATCATTCTGATGTGGACTACTGGTTAGAATATATTGCTCTGACAGCAGAGTTACCCGGGTTCGATACCAGTTGAGGGCGAGCTATGCTTCCTGAGTACTGATCTCAAAAGGGATACGGATGGCCCCTCAAGGGAATGATATATCAGAATGAGAATTTTTTTTTGTTTTGTCTTGTTTATTATATTATTATTATTATGATTTAATTATATATATAGTATATTTTAGTTTTAAAATTAGATATTTATGTGTAGTATACATAAAATAGGTCTGGGCGAATGTCACGGGCTAGATGACATCATAGTCAATTAAGTTTATAATTTAGAGCCGAATGCTTAGACAATCTGCGATATATCTCGGCCGATAGAAATTAAGCCACTATACAATAAGGTGAGATTTGTTTAAGCCTTATTAGTCCTTTAAAGTTATAAAAAGAACGTAACTTAGTTAAGGTTGGTTACGACAATTATGTGTGAGGAAGGGGCACATAATATCACTAACCCGATAATAATTCCTTATATTATAATTAACCAAATCACCAACGTCACGCCTCTGGCGAGTTGCCTTATGTCATAAAAGTCTATATTTTAGAGTATAGATTATTAAACGTACAATTCACCCCGTAACATTACGTAGTATTTTCGCAATTCTTGAGTGTGTACCAGATTGGTGGCGCATTAATCAGTCAAAGCAATTTGCATCAGATAAAAAATTCTAACGATAATGATAATAAAATTATAAATTTTAGTAGAACGAAAATATCATTTTTAAAATTATTTCTTGTTTGAATCATGCCTTTTTTATTTTCAAAAAAGTACATATATTTTCGTTTCTTCAAACCCTTAGCTTCTAACATTATTGTTATTGAATTAAAAGAAATAAATATTTTTCGTATTCTTTTATTTTTTTTGTTTATAAATTACAATTTTCAAAATTTTTGCGACTAGAATAATAACTTTCAAAGTTCTTAGTAAATTCGCGTTAAGTTGGTAATAAATCTCAAATAAATACAAATATGTTAAATAATAACATGTACGATATAGTTTATAAAACATGAAACCAGCTTTTCTCATAATATACACTAAACCATATCTTAAAAAAGAAAAATAATAGCGTTCCCTAATTATTAAAGGAGCTCACTTTCAAAAACTAAAATTTCATAAGTTTTCTTAACCATACATTCGAAATTACTGTAATAATATTTGTATATACCATACTTACGTGCAAAGTATAGTCAACTCTCTTTATAATGAATCTTTTTATAATTAACTCTGAATATAAAGACTAAAAGTTTAAAATTTATATTAGTTTGGTATAGAGAGAGTTGACTATTACGTATTTCCGTTACATATTCAATTCACAAAAGAAATTGAAAATCCACAAAATACGGTATAGTTAATGAAAAACATGGAAATTTTCATTCAATTTCTTACCAACATACTGAATAAAAGAAATGTTATGGCTGATTAATGCGCACCAACCTGGCACACATTCAAGAATTGCAATATTTTCAACTAGTAATTGTTAGAGCATATTTGGTACACATTATCTGGATGCTTCATCGAGACTTTATCGCGCGAGTTCACGCGTGTCATCTGATAAGAATTCATTTTTTTAGAATATAAAAAATTTCATTAGAAAATTTTTAATCACGAGATACACGTATGTCATATTACGTAAGTCGCGCGACATCGCGAATGAGTTTCGTCATCTCTCGCGAAGTACATCTCTAAGGTTATAATCTCAATTTGTTATTTGAACTGAAAGTCCGATTTAATTCTGTAACCTCATATATATCGTAAAAACTCGATACGAGTATAAAAATTGCATATTTTTGGTTTCAGAATGACGCGTCTCGTATGTACAGTATTGGCGTATTTATATATAGCATTAAACGCAAAAAAAAAAACCTCACGAAAAAGTGCAGAATTCCAGAGCGACGAATGATAAATTTTTTTTTATTTAAAATTTTTGTATGTCCATACCACTTACAATTGTATTTACCGTTATACAGTTAAGTATATTTCACAAATGAAATATAAACCGTTTCTAGCATTAAACAAGGAAGCTTTCTATGTGAAGGAGTCTAAAGAATCTTTTTAGAAAAAATTTTACAGTATATACACATATATTATATTATAAAACAAAATGCGCGTACAGTATATAAGTAAAATAATATTCTCTATATAAAAATTTGATATTAAATTTTACGCCCCAACGAAACAACACATACCTACACATTATTTCAAGATAAAGGATCAATCTTCTGATTTGATTGTTACTATCTTGTAAATCTATTTATGCATGAGTATTAAAGTTTGAAATATCAAAAGTCATTGCGTATAAAGTTCTAACATTTTTGAACGACAATGCCGTATTAGATCAGCACATTGTTCATCGGTTTATAACAGGTTGAATTAATAATGAACTCTGCAACTAAAGTTATTTAAATATGCGAGTACTGTTCTGCTAAACCATCGATTATATCCAAAATCGAATTGCGCTTGTCGGGTAGGTCATATGGCTCCCAAGAATTCTCATTAGTTTTGGCTTTGATAATTTGCCGTTTGAGGATTTCAGAATTCCACATGAATGTTTCGGTAAAATGAAGTACGTATATGCCACAATCAACATTGTTTTTTTGCTTGGGTGAATTTACCAATGAGTGAGGAATTTTTGATGTCCGTTCGATGGTCACCTTCCCCGTGTCTCGTGTGTAATCAAACAGAAAGTTTGTAATAATATGCACTGTACGACTGTGCTTAAAACTTTCAGCAATAGAGTCAAATATTGCAATATAGCATTCCGCAATCCTATTTTCTCTGAGCGCAGCTGGATTAATTATCAAAGCCAAATACCAATGTCCGCTAAACAAATATATATATATATATTAATCGTGTTAATCATGATTATAATCAACCAAGATAGAGCGTAAAAATAAAATTGAAATGCTTGCTTTTCACAGATTGGAACAAATATATATTGAAAATCGAAAAGGTCGATTTTCTTTTTCTTTATCCATCTTGACATCTGATTATAAATTTCACTTTGTTCCATCCTATAAAAAAAAAAAAAAAAGGTTCTATTAATTATAACAGAAATATCAATTTATTAATGTAAAAAAGATATCATAAATATAACAAGTAATTACTTTGCATCGCGAAGGTCAGATAATTTTTTATAAAAATATGAGTCGAATAAATAATACTTCCTCGCCTTAGCTTCATCGTGTTCACGAAGCTGATTCAGAACATATCTATATTATAATTAAGACTTAGCATGCATAAATAACGCTGAATGAAAAAAACATGATAAAAGTATTGTATATAATACCTCATATAAAATACAATAAGAGTGTCGTTCAACTCGTCCATGTCTATTAAACGATTGTAATCTGACCCAGTAATTAAAATTGATGAATATCCAACACAAGAGTAGTCAAATAACTTGCTAAGGAGAAAGATTTGTGTTAAATTATTTTATTAATTTACGAATGAAAATTATAAAAACAATTAAATTACCTATTTGGATCTCGTCTACCAAGACTATGTGAAACATCAGACACAGGTTTTGGTGGAACTTTTGAATATGGCACAATGTCTGTTGAAGATTTATATTTTTTCTTAAGACGTATTCCATTGAATTTTGTTGAAAAATCTGTATTCGGCTCGTGATCCGAAGATGGACCAGTTCTTTTACGACTTAAACTGTTTCTTCTTCTCACAGAAGAAACTACGATAACGTCTTCATCTGGAAATTTGTAGAGGTTTTAGTACGTTTAGGACATATGATTGATCAATGTTAATAACTTGATGGACTTATAAAAATGTGGAATGGCTTTGTCCTTGACTTTACAACGCCCGTACCCGTTGAATTACTTAAATTGTTTGAATTCGTATTTGAAAATAGTGTTGAATATGATGTGGTATTTGTCGAATTGGTTGAAGATGACACTAAGGTATTTCTACATATTTCTTTTCCATGTCTAGAAGTTGGCGGAGATGTATTTCGACTCAACCACTGTGTTCTCATCAGCGGATTTTTAATCTTTCCAGATGGAAGCACATTTCCATCAGAGTCAAAATATTTTTTAATTAAACTTTTAAATTTTTCATCCTCCATTGGCTTTTTCGCAACACTATTTTCCGAATTTTTAAAATGACTCATAAATTTCTTGATGTTTGATGAAGACAAAGTTGTAATGAATAAATACGAAATCTATTGGCTCTTTTAAATTGTACAGACATTTTCTCACCTTGAAAGCGTCTAAATCACGCGTAACACATAGAATAGACATTTGCTCACTACCCGGGGTAGAATGATCTTTATCATTCATAATGACTTGAGCTTTTGCTCGAACTTGTAACATCGCAAGGTCAAGGTTAGATTGTAACTGAAATTCGATACTATCGATGCCCTTATCTATCTGCATTTTGATAATATGTTCGCCTGAACATGTGAGATATACAAAATTGTCCGCCGTTGTAATAGCGTGTTGGTGACCGTTGCACCAAACATGCGTTCCAAAGCCGCTACAGCAACAATCTACAACTTCCAAGGGCACACTTAAATGCAAAGACTCAGCGCTCGTCATCAAAAGAAACAATTTGTTGAGTGAACAAGTACTTGGCGAAGCTAAAACAACAATAAAAAAACTCTTGAAGTTTTGCGATTATTATAACTTATGTAAAGTACGTGCTACGTACAATTTAATTGGTCAATCATCAATAGATAAAAAGTTCTGAAGTTTAGGCTATCGCTAGATGGTTGAGATTTGCAGATCGTGAAAACTACGGATAATTACAGATTAAAGAATTATAGTATAAATTCTACAAAGCACGCTTACTAATTTCCTGATGAGTGTCGAAGAGTTCGTTACAACAAGTACTTCCAAGAATACTTGCTATTTTAGAGGTTCGCTAAAGCGGGTAAAAGAGCCACATGCATGCGCCACTTAATCCAATATAAAAATTTGGTATATATATAGGATAAATCTATTTGTAACAGCCTGTTACACGCTTATTTGTAACAGTTTGCTTATAACTCAAAATTTTACTAAGATAATCTCTTTTGCGTTACTAACGAAAAATGATCCTCTCGCAATTTTGTATTAATCTTGATACTAACTTTAAACCTTATCTAACACTAACCCTAACACTAACTCTAACACTAACCCTAACACTAACCCTATGCTAACTCTAACATTAATAGGCTGTTACAAATAAGCGCGTAACAGGCTGTTACAAATAGATTTTTTCATATATATATATATTGTAATCTTATGTATAAAATTTTTTTTTAAATACTGTATATATTTAAGAGAATTCAAAATTGTTTTTTTTTTATTTAAAAACATTAAATCTAGAATAGATTAGTTATATATATATATACATAGTAATATAAAATTGGAATTATAGTATATAATTTTAAAAATTTTCTATCTAATACATCTAAGTATAATATATATTAGATTTTTAATTCTCTATTTATAAATTTTAAACAAGCTAAAAAAAAAATTAGTTTTAATTTTAAAATGCCAAATTTAATAAAAAAATCTTAGAGTATAGGTTTTATAACTTAGTAGCTAAGTTATTAAATTTTTTAAAATATATAAATAAGTTTAAGTTAAACTAAAAATAAAAAATATTTTATAATTTAATTTATTATCCATCTAAGAACTAGTGACAAAATATAGTAAACAGTGAAGATATGTTTACTATATATTTTTTGTCTTTGAAATCTGGAGTTTTTCTAAAAAAAAAAAACTTTTTCTTTACTTAGTAAACCTCTTTTAAACTTCTAAGTAAAGTTGTATAGAAGTATCTTATGATCAAAATGGTAGTTAAATCATTAAAATTGGTTTAGTGAATTGCAAGATATAAGTGTTTTAGTTTTTTTTTTTTTTTTTTTTTTTTTTAAGGCAACCTCTTTTGGTCATATTAATGGCTAATTTTTATTAAGAATACTAATATTTCAGAATTACAATAAAAGTACAACTAGCCACACATGCACTTTTGGTACCTAATTTAAGTAGTTTGCCCAAAGGTTCTACACTAGCTATTATACTGGCAATCCAAACTATGAAGTTGTCTATTTAAACCCTCTAATTATATTTCCTACTTCCACAAGTAGAGAATCCCTAATAATGACTTGTATACAACTTAGGACTAATTTATCCTTAGAGATGAATCTTGCTAGATTAGTATGTGTCTCACATACAGGCAGCTATCTAAACTTTCAGTAACTTATGTTATAGCTTTACCCATATACTTGAAAGTTATTCACTTCTACTATTACTTACTCCTTGCCTTTGTAAGGTTCATACAACCTTAATACACATATTCGGACTTTCTTTTTTCCTTGAATTCTTTACTGTTCTCTCCCTTACTTCCAGCTAGCAACATGGAAGGGTTGGCCTGCCTAGGCTTTATATACCTTACGGGCTCCCTCTCTTTGGTACATGCTTCCAAAGCACATGTTCTTTTTTCTTTGATTTTGGCAACCCAGTGATTTGGCTAGTATGTCCCCCTACTAAAGGACCTGGTTGCTTGGTTCTTTAATCTTAGTTTCTAGTTCCAAATTCGGTCTTCCTGTAGCACCGTCAAAAGTCATGCTACCTCCCGACTTATGATAGACTATAAATAAGATCTTTTTTAAAGAATTATTTATAAACTGGACAATACGAATAGTTCTTGAAGT